TGTTTAGTTTTAACAACAGTAAAATGAGTGTTAAAATTTCTTGCCTTTTTATTAATTTCAGTGGACGATAAACCTGGAACACAATGTGCAATTTTGATTAATTGATTGATTAACACAGTGTTGACAGACAAATCGAGTCAATAAATATGTACGTTGCTGCTTATAAACAAATGTGCTCACTACTCACAGCTACGAAATTGTCCGAGTTAAATGCAAACTACTAATTCACTTTAAAGGCTGATTTATTATTCTGCATCAAACGCACGCGTATGCTATGGCATTGACGCATAGCCCTATGCCGTGGCCGTCTGCGTCGCTGACGTGCACCTCTCAAAAAATTTAGCTACTCGTTTAGCTACTCTTAGCTCTGTGATTGGTCGGCTTGGTAGCGCTGACGAGTCTGGGCAGTACTGAGAGCCGCGCGAATAGCGCGAGCCCGATCAATTATTAGCCCCTATAAGCTAGAATTTTTTTCGATAGACTACAGAACAAACCAATAATACAATACAATACAATAATTTGCCTAATTACCCTAACCTGCCTAGTTAACCTAATTAACCTAGTTAAGCCTTTAAATGTCACTTTAAGCTGTATAGAAGTGTCTTAAAAATATCTAGTCAAATATTATTTATTGTCATCATAGCAAAGATAATACTAATAATTCATAATTCTAATGATTATGGGGGCTAATATCTCTGACTTCAACTGTATGTATGTGTATATATATATATATATATATATATATATATATATATATATATATATATGTGTGTGTGTGTGTGTGTGTGTGTGTGTTATTATTAATAATAATTTTTTTTTTGCAACATTTTGCAAATGTTCACAGAATGTTGAAGGGAAGTTATTTTAAAAGAAAACAAAAAATAATCTTCCTAGAGTGTTCAGGGAACATTAGAAGAACATTTGAATAACTTGTTAGAACAGAAACATGGATAAGTCCGAACAAAGAGTCGAGGAAATACACAAAAGCGAACATTAATGAAATTTGGTGTTTTAATGCTCAGTCGTTTATCATGTTGAATTTCTGTTTGTACTAATTCTAAACATTTAAAAGTTTATATAAAAAGAGACTTTACCCAAAAGGCAAATTAGATGAAGCAGAATAATCCTTAAGAGATTCATAGTCTTCAAAAGTCGAGTAGAGAGGCTTTATCTGCATTTGAACATGTAAACAACAACTGAGTCAAAGTTATCTGTAACAGGTTAACAGTGTGTGAAGCTACATCTTTTGCTGATCCAAGCACTTTTAACACCAAGAGATTGTTAAAAAATGTCCTTACCTGTAAAATGTTCTTCCCTGTCTTCTTCTTCTTTTTTTTTTACAGTACACAGTATAAACTATAAAATATAAAACACTAATTACTGTATAAAAATGTTGCTTAAGCTTATGTATGGTTTAAATCCTGTTGAGACATAGTTTATAAGAAACTGTTAATAATGCGCTGAATACCTTAATAGGCTACAGTCAGCCAGTCTCACACTTCCCACTTCCCTAACTGTGAGAAAGTTTTAGTTTTGTTTTTGCAGCTTAAAACATCTCACAGAGGTTCATGCTCCCTTTTACTTTTACTTATAAAATCAAAGATCACACAAGCTATCTGTGTCTTTTGTTGCAAATAACTTTACAGATTTTCTTTCACTATTTACAGCATATGAATTTATAAGTTATAATTCATGAAACTGTGTTTCACAGTTGTGTAGTTCCATTTTCTTGAACTTAAACAACACAGAACTGAAATCAAGCTTATATAACTTAATTTATATAATAACCATTATATTAATGGCGGTCAATAATTTATATATGACTTAATTTGAATTTTTGATGGTTCTGTTTTTAATTTTTATGAGTCTTTGTTCTATAAGGCTGTGAGTCTACAAGGGTTTGTAGTGTGTAATGTTGAATTTTAAATGTTAATTCAATTTTTTAAATGTTAATTTTAAATTTTTAATGTTGAGTTTTATACTCTATTCACAAACTTTATTCTTTTTTAATAGTAGTTTATTGATTATTTTTCTCTAGGTAAAGTGAAAGATTAATACAAATTGTATTTGACTGGTGTGATTTACAGCAGTGAATGAATTTTAAGGCAATGTAAGGCAATGAAGCTTACTGAAGTTAAATGGTTTGAAAATTTACAAATACATAGGCTATGCATTCTTCGGTATTAAGTTAACATATTTTTTATCCGCTGTTGAGAAAAAAAATCGTGAAATCGTAAATTTAAGCCTTTAGTCAGATGAAATGTTCCCAAGTCACATGTCATTAAAACTACTTCTGCCATCCAAGGTTATCATAGTTCATTGTCTTTAATACGTTTTTATTTCAGTTTATTTACATATTTGTTGTACATTTCAGTGCAGTTTTAGTTTATTCCATCAATGCTTTTGTTAATTTTAGTTTAGTTTTTTGGTGAACACATTTCTATTAAGTTTTTACATGTTTAGTTTTAGTTTTAAAAAATTGAGTAATAAAAATATTTTTAATAGCTGTTTATTGATTATTTTTCTCCATGTAAAGTGAAAGGTTAATACAAATTGTATTTGACTGTTCTGATTTACAGCAGTGAATGAATGGCAATGAAGCTTACTGAAGTTAAGTGGTTCGAATATTTACAAATACATAGACTATACATTTAAACGGATTCTTCTGTATTAAGTTAACCTATTCTTTATCCCCAGTTGAGAATAAGAAAAATTGCAAAAACATCCCACATACACACACACAAATAAATAAATAAGTGGATAAAAAAATTAAACGACTAATCTGTATGTGTGCTGTTTGCTGCTCAATCAGGTGGGGGTATATAAATATGATCAGCCTACGTTTGTGCTAATGTGGGCATGGTTAGCTTGATGGAATAGAATTGGCTTTTTATTTTCAGATCTCAACTTGTTTTCTGTAAGAAAGGATGAGTCGACAATATATGGAGGCATATTACGACAATACATAAAAATATGCAGAACCAAAACCGATTCCCTTTGGTTTGCTGTGACTGTTACTGTAACAGGAAACAGTTGGCATGTGATAGCTACTTCATCATAAACCAGCTTAGGTTGGTTTGGGCTGTTTTATTTTTCAGCAGGGAAATCTTCTTCCCGCTTCTGTTGGGAAAATACAGATTTGTTCTAGCACTTTTAATTCAAAAGAAGAAAAAAGCAGAAAATAAATATCCCTCTGAGATCTCCAACAGTTATCTGGATGCATTGGATAAGTTCACGCTTATGACAGCTGCTCTATTCAGTTCATTGTTTCCAACTTCAATACCAATACTTTTAATGATATTGTTTGGGCTTTTCTTTACGATGTGTCAATAAATACAATGTGTCAAAAACAATTACATCCTTAATAAAAACCTGCACTTATATTAAAAGCACAAATTGATCTGGGCCATTATGTTAAAGTAAAAACATGTTAACCCCTCAACAAAATATCACCCAAGCACAATGCATAAAAGAACTCCAGTGATTTTTAATTATACTAAACACTAATATATATATATAAAATTACACGAAAAAGCACATCACAGAAACACAGTAGTTTCTACAGATAACAATACATTTTTATAAACAAAAGAAATTGAGGCAAAGTTACACATTTTACAGATTATTTAAAGATTTATTTTTCCATTTCAGACTTTATTAGACAGGTTACTGACAGGAAGTGGAGTGGGTGAGAGAGTAAGATCGGGAAAGATCCAAGATGTGATACTACTTGTTACCATATAGGCTATAGCTCATGCCAAACTAACCTTTTCACTTCCCTGCTGGTTTCACTTTCTGGTATTATTGTTTATATTATTTAAAAGAAATATACATTATCAAAGTGTTATTTTAGTACAACATCTGAAAACATGAAATAGATAGCCAATCAGAATAGTTCAGATCAGTACTGAAATATGTAGTTGGCCTATGTTTTTTTTATTTAACATTTATCAATTTACAAACTCAAATGGGGAACAAAAACGGCATATAACAATATATACACACTTACAATCACATTTACATTATACAGTGCATACACACATTTTAATGCATAACATTAAAAAGAAAAAAAAAACTTTTTTTGGAGGTGGAGGGTGGTTACACAAAAAAATAAAAACTAAAAAAAATTAAAGATAAATTTTTAAAAGGAAAGAGACTCAGCCATAGTTTTGTAGTTTCTCTTTAGCATTTTTTTCTTCGGATATTACTTTGAAAGACTCTAAATATGTTTTATATGTCTTTTTAAAGCAATTAATCGAGGGTTTACTGTTATTCCACTTACTTTTGTGTATATTTACCTATAATAATAATAATGTTTAACATCGATGACATTTTGTTTGGAAAAACTATCTGCATAAACCAAAACCTTAATCAAATTTTAGGAATGGAATGTCAGGATCTATATTGTTGCTTAGCCAACTGCAAAGGTCCTGTCATTTTTTTTTTTTTTTTTTTTTTTTTTGTGACTGGACAGGAGAAATATAAATGTTCAATGGTTTCAGCCTCTTCTGAACAAAAAACACAAGGGTCTACCTCAAATCTGTTTTTTTTCCCCCGTAAAATTTCTGCTGCTGAATATGTATTATTGATTATCCTAAACTGCATATATTTCGTTTTCTGTAAAATTTAAGATATTTACAATATATTTTTAAATACACCATTTTCAAGCTGTTTCAATTTTGATGGTGTATTAAAATCTGAAAATAATTTACTTTTTAAAATATGCCCAATTACTTTGTTGTTATATATATTTTTTATCTGCAATAATACCTACTTATCCAATCTTTAATTCAGGTAATTTTGTAGATGCCTTTGAACGTGTGACAGTATTATGTATTATTTTTATAAAGCAATAGGAATAGCTTTACTTAAATAAATAAATTCTCTAAATGAATATTTTATCTCATTTTTTTCCATCAATGAATTATGTTGAAGAATTAGCCATTTTTATCTAAAAGATAGTTGGCCTATGTTTCACTGGTCAAACGGGATTTAAGATTAATTATTTCTCCAGTCCAGTAGGCGGATCGTGCTCGGCTGTTAGCAACCCGCCGGTAAAACCCACGAAGAAAACGAAAATGAAAGAAACTGGAAAATACAGCTGCGCCTAATAGACGCTTCAGATCCTCGTCTTGTTTACATACTGTAGATAAATTAAGGCAACAGCTAAACCTGTCTCTAGTTAATAATTGTATAAATCTAGACCAATAGAAGATGACATTGGGTTCGCTTTTAAAAATCGCCTCAATACAGTTTGCTTGTTTAGGAAGAAATTTACCACAGAACTTGCGTGAGCTGGATGGAGATACCTGGACACATTTCTTTACCGCATACAGGAAAAATAAAACGTAAGCAACTCTTCAAAATCATTCAATACTCATTTTTATTAATGTGTCTGTCCAAGGTGTACCATCGTACATTTTTAGGAGACAAAGTTTTTCTAAGGAAGAAGAAAAGTGGCAAGGAAAGTGGAGTAATAGTACAGAAAGACATTTATGTAACCTAGAATATTAAATGTGTTTAGAGATATAGAAGAGATGATCAGACCTAATAAGATACTAATCTTAACTCGACTCTAGTAAAAATAACTTAAAAAAAAAAAACTGAGTAAAAATATGACACGTAATGGAAACCATAGACTATGTGTTATTAATATATCCTCCTCTTAATCATAGGAATGAACGCAATTAGTTATTAAGAGAACTCTACAATAACCTGTAATGCAAATAATATACAATCAGGAATTTATTAAACACAAATTAAGGGTCAGGTAAAATTATTGAAGCTGTTTAAAAATGTAGCGATCTTAAAACCAATATATAGATTGGTCATCAAACTTGTTCCTGGAGGGCCGGTGTCCTACAGATTTTAGCTCCAACCCTAATCAAACACACCTGAACCAGCTAATTAAGGTCTTACTAAGTATAGTTGAAACATTCAGGCAGGTGTGTTGAACAAGTTGGAGCTAAACCCTGCAGGGACACCGGCCCTCCAGGACTGTAGACTGAATCACCAACACAGGAGATGACAACGATATGCACATAAAAGTTGGTTTGCAACTAAACCTAAAGTAAAAGAGTGTGTTGTGCTTCACATTGCTGTCCAGTTGGTGGCGCTGATGAATAAGAACTGCTTTGACAAACTTGCATTTTGTCCAGAGAGTCTAGACTGACTCATGTCATGTGTCAACACTTCTGAAGTGTCTCAGATATGTGTAAACAGACAGAAATGTCTTAAAAATGGTTTAAACAAACAGAAGGTAAACCATTCGGTGCGATATAACGTTCTGCTAAACCTGTAACCTATTTCTAAAAATGTATTTACAATTTTTCTATTTAGGCGAAATTCTCATTTATTGTTGTTCTCATTGATTAATTTTCATATTAATATATGCATATTAATGTTAAATGTAAATATAAATTTAACCATGCTATGATGAGTGCTTTGAATGTTGTTGACTAAATTCAGTTACAGTAGCTACATGACAATATGTTTGTAGCAGGTGTTAATATTCTTTATTGCTTGTCTATTAACTCAGCATTTGTCTTTATTTAAATTTTTTTCTTCTCCATTTCTCCTTCTGAAGTGTAATGACCTTCATCTCAGAGACTCATTGTCATGTCCAGCTCATGATGGTCGTCTGATTGTCTTCAGCAACACAAAGACACCAGTGTTGAGCTGTTGATCTGCAGTATGTCAGAGGAGCAGGGAAAGATGAGTCTCTCAGAGAAACACAGGTGAGACTATGGTGCTTTGCACAGATTCATCTTAAACTACAGCAGGTTCAGGATTTAAACCTCAGAAAAATACAACTATAATCAGAAAGAACTTGTTTAACATTCAGTGTTTTCTTTCACTATTTCATGTCAAATGCTATGAAACCATTCAGAACATCTTGGAAAAGCTTAGAAGTTGTTTACATTTTACATTTATTGGAAAAGTTGTAACAACTAAAAATGTTTGTTGCATATATTCAGAGCTGAAAAATACAGACAATATTTTGAAGGGAAAAAATTAATTCACTGCTAAGATACATTGCATGTATTATTTATTTCATTCATAGTTGATTTTGAACTCGCACGTTTCGAAGTAAATAATTTCTACTAAATTGACAAATGAAAAAATGACCCAAACTTGTTGGAGCAAGACATTGTTAACTCCTTAAATTGAACACATCATTTGCACACTAAATCTCTTCAGATGGTCTGACGTTCCTCCTGTTGTCATTTTCTCTCTGTTTTTTATGTCTTCAGTGTAATATCAGACTCATGTGTGTCCGGCTCTGTGTCTGTGAAGAGCGACTGCTCAAAAGATGGTGATCTCCCGAACTTCAGTGTGGAAAAGCCAATGTCTGCTAAAAGGTATGAAATGTCAAACATTCATCATTGTTATATACATATTAATTGCGGTAGTAAATTTCTCAGAGAGTTGTTATGACAGAAGAGCTGTTATGCAATTCAGACTCCTATACTCAGATTTCTCTCTGTTCTTGTTCACAGTTTGCAATAAGGTTGAATTAGTTAATGTATTTACTAACATGATGTAATTTTTTATTACTTCATTATTTCAAGAGTTCACACTTAGCTGATGATTAAATATAAGCTACTTTAGCATGCTGTCCTGGGAGTGAGCCCTGAGCTCATAAGATCCTCAAGCCCGGGGCTCTCTCCCGTTGCAAGGCGAAAGGGGAGTTTGAGCTCAGGTAGATCTCGAGAACTCCCCTGCAGTAGTAACTAATGAAAAGAGAGTGATTGCTCTGAAGAGATAACTATTTACTAAGAGCATGTCTATAGTGCTGATTTAGATTAGTCATTACCTTAAGTTGCATGTTTTTGGACGATAAATCTCTTCAGATGGTCTGACGTTCCTCCTGTTGTCATTTTCTCTCTGTTTGTTATGCCTTCAGTGTAATATCAGACTCATGTGTGTCCGGCTCTGTGTCTGTGAAGAGCGACTGCTCAAAAGATGGTGATCTCCCGAACTTCAGTGTGGAAAAACAAACGTCTGCTAAAAGGTATTAAATGTTTCAAATATCCATTCTGGGATTTCTCCACAGTGATGAAGAGTATGTGAAGGAACTTGAGTTAATAAAACAAGCACAAAATTGTTATATATAACTTACACGGAGTAAACCCATGTGAGCACAGTGAGAAAGTGCAAACTCGGCACAGAAACGTATGCTGGTTTGGTAAAGACTGGAACCCAAGACGTTTTTGCTGTGAGGCAACAGTGCTAAGCACTGGGCCACCTTGTCACCCATCTAGGAAGAAGGAGGAGTAGGGGTGGAAGAGGGGATTCTTCAAAACGAAGATAGCGGTGGTACATAACTCAGGGTATTTGTAGTAGCTTAGGAATCGTCTGATTGGTGCATTAAGAATTGGATAATGTGGATCCAGCTGCTAGCAATCATAAGCACATGATCCTCTTGAAATTAGTTTATAAATAAACTTCACTTAATGTGTTGAATATTCCTCATGGAATTTCTTCACAGTTATGAACAGCATGTGCAGGAGTTAATAAATCAAGCTTAGCAAGTTGTTATGACAGACACCTGTTATCTAATCTAGACTCCTGTTTTCAGATTTCTCTCTGTTATGAGCAATACTTCTTGAGCATTTATTAATCATAGTTGAACATTGACTAATGCATTTTAAACATACAAATTCATGCTTGTTAATGTTAGTTAATGCACCATAAGTTAACATGGACTGTAATGTTTAACATGAACTAATGTTAACTAACATGAACAAATACTGTAGTAAATGTATTGTTCATCTTAGTAAATGCATTAACTATTACCAACTTATTGTAAAGCATTACCTGTTCTTTGTGTCATCAGTGTAATATCAGACTCCTGTGTGTCCGGCTCTGTGTTTGTGAAGAGTGACTGCTCAAAAGATGGTGATCTCCCGAACTTCAGCGAGGAAACACCGTCATCTGGCAAAAGGTATTTCACGCCTTTAACATTACTTTTTTGATTGTCTGATTTCTCCACAGTGATGTACAGTGTGTGATGCAATTTAAGATTACGAATGGCAGAAAACAATGTCTGATGAGCTCCACTGATCTCTGTCTGAAGAATCTTGATATTTTGTTAATAGAGTTTTCTGATATGTCATGAATATTGCATTTTGCTAATAGTTTAATTATTTTTCAGTTACCCATATGCACAACCATATAAACAACAGAATTGATTGCTTTTTTAATGTACTATTGAATACATTGTTCTGCTTATTTATGCTGTTTAAACAATGGAAAAAAATGTGTGGAAGCTGCTAAATCATATAGAGGAGTATTTTTGTAACGAAGTGGCTGACACAGAGGGATCCATTTGCAGTATTTTTATTAAACACAGTTTAATAACAAATAGCACACAGATGTTATGCGTGTGCAAACTCACATCAAGCACAGTAGTATATCGCCGTAGGGCTGGCGGCAGGTAAACACAGGATGAGTATGCAGGCATGGGTCAGAGGCAGGCGGCTAGTATCAAGGTCGGTGTTCAGGCTAGAGTTCAAGGCAGGCGGCAAGGATCAGAGTCGGGGTTCAGGCAAAGGTACAAGGCAGGCGGCTGGCAGGACTGGGTGAATAATCGAAGCAAGGTCACAACGGGGAAGCAGGCAATGAAGAGAAATGCTCAGTAGTGTTAACCGGGGTAGAACAAGACTTCGGAGTGAGTGAGTGTGTGTGTGCTGCATATATGTGTGAGCGTGCCTCATCAACTGGATGAGCTGCAGGTGTGCATGCTTTCAGTGTAAGTGGATGACGTAATGCTTAGAAGTCCGGTAATGATGACCTCTGCTGGCCAGCGAGGGGAATGACTGGAACCGAGTCGGTGACAGGTGTGTTGTGTCTTGGTTAAAAGATTGAGTCTTTCCATAGAACCATTACACAACATAGCATCATGGCTCACCGTAAGAACTAGAGAGTAAACATACAAACAAACAAACACCAAATGAATCCCGAAATTTAAAACAGCATACCAACATTACCAACAAAAGTAAAACATGAATCTTAACATAAATCAAAACATGATTTACAACTTAAATAAATCAAATTACTTTATTTTCCCTTAAACCAGAAGCTAAAACTCATAAATTGGGAGTCCGAGAATCAGCTGTATACCCGTGCCTTGTTGGCGTGTTTCACTTATCGTTCCATGCCTGGCGTGCTTTGCTTCACGTCCATTACTATATGCGTCATACATCCGGTAGGCTCCGCAATCTTAGTGCCATAATTACGTTAAGTAATTAAGTCTTCAACCATAACTTAACAACATATACAAAATAAAGCAAAACAAAATACACAATAAAGTACCACATTACTTGGTGAAATAAATAATACTCATTTCATCTCATTTTCGTCTGCTTTTCCGGGGCTGGGCCACAGGGGCAGCAGTCTTAGGAGAGAACCCCAGACTTCCCTCTCCCCAGACAATTCCTCCAGCTCCTCCAGGGGAATGCGAGGTGTTCCCAGGCTAGCTGAGAGACTAGTCTTGAGGTTTTCCTCGAGGTCTCCTCCTAATGGGACATGCCTGGAACACCTCTCTGGGTAGGCAATCAGGAGGCATCCGAAACAGATGCTCGTGCCACCTCAGCTTACTTCTCTTGATGTGGAGGAGCATTGGCTTAAGCAGAGCTCCTCCCAGGTGACAGAGCTCCTCACCCTATATATAAGAGTGTGCCCTGCCACCCTGTGAATGAAGCTCATTTTGGCTGCTTGCATCCAAGATCTTGTCCTTTCGGTCATGAACTAAAGCTAATGACCATAGGTGAGAGTAGAAACGTAGATTGACCAGTAAATCGGGAGCTTTGTCTTTCGGCACAGCTCCTTCTTTACCACAACAAACCGGTACATCGACCACATTACTGCTGCGTCCTGCTCACGTTCCATCCTTCCCTCATTCGTGAACAAAACCCCTAGATACTTGAACTCCTCCACCTGGGGTAAGGACTTTCCTTTAACCTGGAGACGGAGATAAATAATACTGTATGATTATAATAAGTCTTCTGCTTGATTTATCCCATTTGCCAGTCTTTGTTTTTGTTGGTCTCCAACCAATTAGTACAGGTCAAAACTTGACAATAATTGATGAGCAATCATTGATTTAGTGGCATTATTTACAGACTTAGACAAAATTGTTGGTACCTTCCAGTGTTGTCCAGGCCAGTTACATTAGTTTGCCTTTTTCAATTCCAAAGCAATATCTGATTTTTTTCTAGTTAATGTTCAGTCATTTTTGATTAATCTTTACTTTTTTTAAGCTTCAAACTATTTCAATGACTACAGTTCTGTTTCTTTCCTCAGTACCAACAATTTTGTCCATGTCTGTATGTTCTCCTCTTCAATATGGGTGACTGATGACATTTTGTGAGAATGTGGTGTTGAATAATAGGGTTTTTATTATGGTAAATGATTAAATGTCAACATTTTCTGTACAAAATGTACTATTATTCACCTGCTAGTGTATTTTCTGTAGTACCATTGTAACTGAAGGATGCTGGTCAACAGAGTTGAGGATCCTTGTAGTTTTATTTAACAGAGAATGGACTGACAGGAAAGGGTCAATTTTAGGAGCAAAGGGGTACATACAGGCCAATCCAGAAGCGTAATCAAGTCACCGGCAAAAGGTCAAGATAGGAGGCAAACAAATCAGGAAATAAGGCAAGGGTCAAAGAATACAGAAAGACTAGACACGGGAAACATTTTGTAATGTTACAGGGATAAACCAACAAGACTCAGCCATGAGTGTGACAAAATGAGCAGTCTAAAAAGTGTGAGTAATCAGTTATTGAGCAGCTGCCAGCTGTGTGTGTGTAATCAACAGTGAACAGGTGTGTGAGAGATGCATGACAGGATTTGTAGTTCATATAGTGACAGGATTGTAGTCCAGGTGAAGGTGAATGTTTACCAGCAATCTGCAAGTCTGGATCACTGGTGATCCTGACAACCATTAAAACAATCTTTTCTGTAATACCATAAGCTCAAAGGAAATTTGGTTCCCAGAAAACTCTGAAAGTTTGAATATCCAATGCTTTCCTTTGTTTTTGCTAAGTGTGTCTGTAAGAGTCATGTAGTATATTTTCCTGGAATTCAGAAATTTGTTGTATTTGTTTACAGTTTTGAACATAAGACATCAGACTCAGACTTCCAGACTCACAGGAAACACAAGGGGTTTCAAGACGGTCTTCTGGGGATCTTTCAGGTATAAGTAAAAGACATACATTTGTTGTAATTTTTGTGTTAAAGTGAACCTCACAGCAGGAAGGTTGCTGGTTCGAGTCCTGGCTGGACCAGTTGGGATTTCTGTGTGGAGTTTGCATGTTTCCTTGTGTTCCCGTGGGTTTCTTTCAGGTGCTCCGGTTTACCCCACAAGTCCAAACACGTGCGCTATAGGTGAATTGAATAAACAAAATTGGCCATAGTTTATGTGTGTGAATGGGTGGGTATGGAAGTTTCCCAGTGCTGGGTTGCTGCTGAAAGGGCAACCGCTGTATAAAGCATATGATGGATAAGTTAGCGGTTCATTCCACTGTGGTGACCCCTGATGAATATAGGGACTAAGCTGAAGAAGATAATGAATTAATAATTTGGTTTAAGTTTAAAGTTTGTTCTCTTTTTTCCCCTTGGTTTGCAGGATCTTGAAAACCAGATAATGAATTATCTGAAGCATGAGCTAGAAAAGTTTAAGAAAATCTTACAAAAAGAAAACATAATTGACTTTGTAAAGGACTTTAACGAGAACAGATGCAGCATCAAAGAAGCAGCTCTCGATCTCACACTCTACTTCCTGAGGGAAATGAAGCAAGAGGAAAGTGCTGATACTCTAGAAGGTGAGAGACTGTCAGATTATAACTGAAAAATATAGGAGAGAAAATAACACTGAGCTTTATGCCTGTTGTTTGTTTCTTGTATTTAGACGAACTGATCTTCATTCATCAGCTGAAATGTGGCCTACAGAAGAAGTATCAGTGTGTGTTTGAAGGAATTGCACAGCAAGGAGATTCAAGACTTCTGAAGAACATCTACACAGATCTCTATATCACTCAGGGTGGCAGTGAACAGGTCAATACTGAACATGAGGTCAGACAGATTGAAGTTGCTTCTAGACGTCATGAAGCACAAGAGCTACAGGTTGAATGCAGACACTTGTTTGAAGCGTCTGAACAAGATAAGCAGATCAGAACTGTACTGACAAAAGGAGTCGCTGGCATCGGGAAATCAGTCTCTGTGCAAAAGTTTGTTCTGGATTGGGCTGAAGGAAAAGAAAATCAAGAGATCAGCTTCATATTTCCTCTTCCATTCAGAGAGATGAACTTAAAGGAGAAAGAAACACTCAGTTTGATGGAGCTTATAACTCAGTTTTTCCCGGAGACAAAAGGACTGAACCTTACAAGAAGGAATCGATTCAAAGTCCTGTTCATCCTTGATGGATTGGATGAATGTCGTCTTCCTCTGAACTTTGCTGGTAATGAGACGTGTTGTGATGTTTCGTCGCCAGCCTCTCTGGATGTTCTCCTGACGAACCTCATCAAGGGAAATCTGCTTCCTTCTGCTCTCATCTGGATCACCAGCAGACCAGCAGCTGCCAGTAAGATTCCTCCTGACTGTATCGACCGGCTGACAGAGATACGAGGATTCAATGATGCACAAAAAGAGGAGTACTTCAGAAAAAGACTGACAGATGAGAATCAGGCCAAAGAAATCATTGATCATGTTAAACAATCAAAGAGTCTCTTCATCATGTGCCACATCCCAGTCTTCTGCTGGATTTCAGCCACTGTTCTCCAAAACATTTTACAGGAGAAGAGAAATAATGATGTTAAACACAATCAAGCTGATGACGCCTCCAAAACACTGCAGGAATCAAACACTGAAGACACTCCCAAGACTCTGACACAGATGTACACACACTTTCTGCGCTTTCAGATCCAGCAGAGCAGACGAAAGTATAATGGAGAATACACACCAGATGTGTCCTGGGATAAAGACGCCATCCTTTCACTGGGGAAACTGGCATTTCATCATCTGTTAAACAACAACCTAATCTTCTATGACACAGACCTGGAAGCCTGTGGTATTGACGTCTATAAGGCCTCAGTTTACTCAGGCATGTGTACCCAGATCTTTAAGGAGGAAACTGGGATCATTCTTGGTACCATGTACTGCTTTGTTCACCTGACTCTTCAAGAGTTTATCGCAGCCCTTTATGCACATCTGATTCTAGACACTAACAAGAAAAGTGTGTTTGATCAAGACTCTAAAAAAATAAATGAGTCCATGATTGATTTGCTGAAGACTGCAGTGGACAAGGCACTAGAGAGTGACAATGGGCACCTGGACCTTTTTCTTCGCTTCCTTCTCGGTCTGTCACTTCAGTCCAATCGACGAATCTTACGAGGTCTGTTGACACCGCAAGACCAAGATGACCAAAGCACAGAGAAAATACTTCAGTATATCAAGCAGAAGTTTGATGCGAATCTTTCTCCAGAGAGATCCATCAATCTGTTCTACTGTCTGAATGAACTGAACGAACAAACTCTGGTGAAAGAGATTCAGACTCACCTTAGCAAAGGAAGTCTCTCATCTGCTGACTTTTCATCTGCCCACTGGTCTGCTTTGGCCTTTGTGTTGTTGACATCAGATGAGGAGATGGAGGAGTTTGAGCTTCAGAAATTCCATAAATCAGACGAGTGTCTCATCAGACTATCAGCAGTCATCAAAACCTGCAAAAGAGCTCTGTAAGTCCATGAATACAAAGTAAAATTTTGTTGCATTTGTTCCACCTAATTCTGTGATGTTATCTTTTCTTCGTAGGTTAAATGATTGTAACTTAACAGACAGAAGCTGTTCAGCTTTGGCTACAGTTCTTGAGTCAGATACCAGTCTAAAAGAGCTGAACATGAGTAATAATAATCTGCAGGATTCAGGAGTGAAGCTGCTCTGTACTGGACTGAAGGATATGAAGTGTGAATTGGAGATACTGAGGTAAGTTCCAGTTGTTATGTGTTTGTCAGTTAAAGAATGTACCTTGTCAAAATTCTTCATTTAGAAAATGTAACTCTAATTGGGTTCACATAAAAATAATTCTCATAATGTCCATGTATTAGTCATAGTTTATTATTGGGTTATTTCATAGTGTTAATTTGAATACTTTCAGATCCACTAGTGTTTGAACAACTGGTTAATGGGATGAATACTATGTTATATTTTCATTATGAACCTTCAAACTGCAGTATTAGTAGGCATATGCTTAATCCTGATTGCAGTTTACTTTAATGCAGCTCTACTTTTTTAAACAAAATTCAAATGACTAAATTTGACTAGTTTTGTAGATAGTTTGTAGGTATCTGGGCCATTGTTATGCTGTGTTAACACCAGACGCGGAACGCGCGGATAAATCGCGCTATTCGCGCGTAAATAGCCACGTGAACATTTGAGTTTACTCGCTTCATACACGCGTTAACCCCGCTTCATTCGCGTGTCAAATTCACATCAGAACAGACGCGGATTCGCGTGATGGGCAGGGCTTCTGTCTGCCCGATGACTCTAGCTTCATAGCTAAATGGCTAACATGGTTTTTATGAAGAAAATAACAGTGTTTATGTGCTTTATGAAGACAGAAAAACAGCGTCGATACGTTTAGGGTTGTGTCTGAGTCCACTACATTCTTTCAGAGGTGCATCCAGCTCTGTGAGCTCATAAACTCCTTCAGAAACTTAACCTGGATGACGGAGGCTTTCAGTGGTGCTTCTGACTGAGCCAAGCCGAGTTTGATGAACTGTTGTCGGTGAAGGCTGGAGGATTTCCCTTGGAACACCGACAACAGGTTCTACGTCACAATCACACCTCCACAAGAGCAAGCTTCTGATTGGTTAACGCGGTGCGAATGTACGCTGAAGTTCAGATTTTCGAAATCGAGAGATTCGCGCGACACGCTCGTTAAGCGCGTCAAACGTGCAAAACGCTCAATTCGCCCCGCGCAATTTGCGTCATTCGCGCGTATCGCGCTGCAGGATGTCTGTTCGCTTGTTTGCATTGACTTAACATGTAAATCACTCGCGCTTGACTTGCGTGCCGCGTCTGGTGTGAACGCAGCATTGGGCTTCATATTCAGTTGCTGCTACACTAATGTTTTCCTGTTTTAGACTTTCAGACTGCAATATTACAGAGGAAGGTTATAAAGCACTGGCTTCAGCTCTGAGATCAAATCCTTCACATCTACTAGAGCTAGACCTCAGAGGAAATGATCCTGGAGAATCAGGAGTAAAGGAGCTTGATGATTTACTGCAGGATCCAAACTGTACACTGAAAACACTGAGGTAATGAACGAGGCAGTGAATATTTGAGTCGCAGCTCAAATAGACTCTAAACTATTAGCTAAATATATTTGGAAATGTCCCCAGCAGACACACAACACAAGACGTTAATATTTGGTTAGATTTAGATCGTGACATCAGGTGAAAAAAATCAATGTCTAGCCAGCTTCTAAGGACAACGTTATTTTTGATATCCAATAACAGCGTCAAATTACATTGATATTTGGTTGATTTTAGGTTGTGTTGGAAAGTGACCAAAATCCAACGTCTGATAGATGTCATAGTGGTATTGTCCACACATCGTCAAGGTGTAGCATAAGACATTGATATTTGGTTGATTTTAGGTTGGACATTGGGTTCTGACATAACCCCATTTCCAAACAAAATCCAATGTCCCCACGACGTTGATGTACAATGTCAATATGACAGTCAGTCATAGGGTCAGTTCCATACATATCTCAACATAAATTAACTCATCTTGGGTTTGGTACTGGGATTCTCTAAATAATGTCCTTTGTGTTCAGTAGAACAAAGAGATATATACAGGACTGGAACAACCTATGACAGAATTTAAAATTCTTTGGATGAACTAGTCTTAATACCTCATTTCCACTAACTGGTACACTTCAGTTCAATATAGTTTGGTATGGTATGGTTACCTTAATCAGTCTTGTGTCTCCATTGCCAAATGCCATACTCTTGGTGTATGACAGAAGGTTGACTTCAGTCTTGCTCAAAGAAAAGTAAAAGTAAAGCTGTATAGCCCATTCGCATCAGTGTGTAAATGCATTAGGGATGTCCAGATCCGATCATGTGATTGGAAATCGGGCCCGATCTTGCGGTTTCAGACTCACTTGGAATTGGACATTACCTCCCGATCAGTACGCAAATACATATGTATATATATATATATCTTGTCATTATTTTTTAACACATCTATAGTAATAAACAGCAACACTTGTGGCATGACATCACTTTGTTGCAGAGACGCTATTGGTTAAATGCTGGCAAAGTAGAACAAAGAAGCAGCTTAAAGCAGAAAGTGTGAGTATGTCGGCGGTCTGGAGGTATTACAAAGTTGATGACGACAACATTGCCATAGCAAACTGAGAGATATATAAACTTGGGATTGCCTGCCGGGTATTTTAAGTTGAGGTGCTATTTGTTTTTATATTAGATTTTTTTATATTTACTTTTGCACTAAAGTCCAAAAGCAGGAATTTATATTATTTATTACTTGATTGTTCAAGCTACCTTACAGAAGTGCTATGTTTGTTAACAGAGTTGTTGAATGTTAAAAAAGGACATTCCGCTGCCTAGCTGACACACCCATTCCGCTGCCTAGTGATAGAGATGAAATACAACTGTCAAAACATCTGTAAAAAAGCTAAACTAAATTGAACCCAATCCAAAAGATTTCATAACTGAGGAAAGTTTTAATGGCAGTGTGTAAACACGATTGACCCAGTGTGATGTAGAATTTATTTATTTTTTAGAAAATTAAGAGTTCTAACAAAATTTTTTGTTTGAGTGTGCAGATTGCATCATTCAAGTAATCTTCATCTCTATAGCGCTTTTACAATATATATTGTGTCAAAGTAGCTTAACACAGAAGATTAGAATAAATTGAAACGTGTCAGTTAGGGGTGTCACGATTTCGATTTTAAATTTATGCTCAATTTCGATTATCGAATCAAAAAATAGAATCGTCGATGCTGCCACGCCCCCATGTCACGTCAGCTTGGCTTGCCAAGCGGGAAAAAAACAGTCTTGTTAAAGTGCTTGTTAAACGGCAGACACAGGAGACCCGTCGACAGAGCTTAAACCCTCTCCTCTTTCAGTGAAGTCGCCGGTGTGTAAGCATTTTGGATTTCCAGTGAGTTATGTTGACAACGTTCATGTTGTCGACAAAAAAAAAAAACACAGTTTTGCAAGCTCTGCTATGTACGTATTACGAACGGTTCGTCCGATAGACAACACCGGCATCGCGATCCTCCGCCCGCCCCCGTTGCAAATCCGCTCGCGAAAATTACACACTCAGGCCCTGTTTACACTGTCTTTGTTTTTAAATGGCATTTTAGAACGACAACGATTTGACATCCACAGTGGCGTGTAGCATTTCTGAGCAGCCCTCCTTCCTCTCTACCTCTGAAAATGCACATCACGTGACCACACAGACGCACTCACAGCCATGTGCTCGAGACAGCAGGTCCAGGCAGTCAGAGGACTGCTTCAATCTTTCACTCACTTGTACTTAGTCATTTTAGCGAACACCTCAGATACTGTTGGCTGGTTCCTGTTAGTTGTGCGTCTTTTTTACAGACGCCATTATAACGACACAGATCACTGCCTATTCTCGAGTCCCGCAGAAAAAAGTGATTGACAGGTGGTAAATATGTGTGTATCTTGCATTTATTCATTTACTGTATGATTTGTTTATGGGTAAAACAAAGACCATGCAGGGCAGGTAGTTTAAATGGTAGGCTACAAATAATTAATTGGTCATTAATTCATTAATTATTCATAATCGAAAATCGAATCGAATCGTGCCTTTAGAATCGAAAATGTAATCGAATCGAGGATTTGGAGGATCGTGACACCCTTAGTGTCAGTCCAGTTTTTAGAGTTCTAAGTAAGCTTTGGTTCAGCTCCGTGCGGTTTAATTTTCACTGCTGAAAGTCCAAACAATGAAGAGCAAATCCATCGATGCTCAGCTCCACAAGTCCCAAACCATGCAAGTCAGTGGCGACAGCGACGAGGAACAAACTTCACCAATTGATGAAAGTGAAGGAAAAAAACCTTAAGAGAAACTAGGCTCAGTTGGGCACGACCATTTCTCTTCTGGACGTTCTTGTGCAGAGCTGCTGTTTAGGCGCCAGAGGCTAGAGAATGCTGGACGTCTGTCGTGGAAAAGCTGCAGGTGGGAGGGTTCACTGGAATGCAAGGACTTGTCTGTCACTGGGGTTTTACAGGAGTCAGTCTCATGCTCTCCACTCCTCCATGACCACCACAGCAGTTGCTCAGGATATGGCCTGGTCCAGGATTATGGAAACCTCAGGAATAATAAAAAACAGACTAACATAAGCGCAGATGCGGTTCAAATTATAATGTCTTTTGGGAAGTGTTGCCGGCTCTGGCTGCACTAAATTATGCAGACGTTAATCTAGTTTTCAAACTGATAGACTGTGTCTGCTTCCAGAACTTTGCTAGGTAGGCTATTCCAGAGTTAAGGTGCTAGACGTGAGAAAGATCTACTGCCTAAAGTTGGTTTTGATATTCTGGGAATAATAAATTTTCCAGAATTAAACGAGCATAAAGGACGTGTTGGGCTATAATACACCAGGAGCTCCCTCAAATACTGGGGAGCTAAGCCGTTCAGGACTTTCTAGGTAGTCAATAACATTTAAAAATGTATACAGTATTTAATAGGGAGCCAATGCAAGGGTGAATCATTAGAACTGTAATGAAGTTTATTTAATCAGTCTGTTTTGTAACCTTCAGCACTTAACTGACTCCTGCTTGATTTTCCCTGTCTTTAGGTTTTTAAGTCCTTCTGCAGAAGAATCCTGTCAGTTTGTGAATGGGGTTGTGGGTAAAAACCCATTACTCCTAAAAACACTGAATCTGAATGATTTCCGATCCACGCGTAACCATCCATTTATATATGAAATAGAAGACACACAAGTGAATCACCTCGCTGCTCTACTGCAGGATAAACACTGTAGAGTCAACATGCTTATGTGAGTATCTTACAGCAGTCAACATGTTAAAAGTGCTGTTTTAATTGTGCTGTACTGTAGCTGATTATAGTCAGTTAAACAGTTTATTTTTAAGTATTGCAAGGCAAATAAAACAATTTTCAGTTGACGTCAAGCTTTAAAAAGTTACCAAGCAAGTCATGTTTGTCAGTATTTAAAGGTTACTGAAATAATTAATAGTTGAATTAAAGTTCAGTTACAAAAGATTTTAACGTGAGAATGGTGGGGAGGGAGAAGCAGCTCATTTGCATTAAAGGCACAGGCACCGAAACACCTACAAAATGAAATCAGCTCAAATTTCTAATACAATAAAGAACTACAAATTTGCCATTATACAGACTACAAATCCTGTCATGCAGCGCTCAGTCACACTGGTTCCTCATTTTATTGATTACACACACATTCACACAGACACAGCTGAAGCTCATCATTCATTCATTACCCGGACTATAAAGAGAGCACTCTCACACACATCAGTGCTGAGTCTTGTAAACAGTTTGTGAACATTACCACGCGTTTGTTTGTCTTGCTTTGCTGTGTTTTTGACCCTCGAATTGTTTGTAGGTTTATGTTGTCTGCTGCCTGCCTGTACTGACCTATCGCTAGTGGTGGGCAAAGTGAGGCTTCATAAACACTGAAACAGTCAAAGCGAATGTGTTGAAGCTTCGAAACGTTTTGAAACCTGTCTCTACAGTGACACCTAGTGGTTATTCTTTATGTATTGCACTAGAACAGCCTCAGCAAAGAAACAGTTAAGCAAATTAAGATATTAACCTCTTGTCGAGTTGAAGCTTCAAGTGATTTAGTGGAGCGGTGAGAGCTCCTGACTAGCATACTGAGATGATGGGTTCGAACCCAGGGTGATGCAGCTATAGATGTTGGGTTTTAAATGCTCTGTTCTTGTAACATGTTTTGTTTTAACATTGGTCTGACATCAGAATGAACACATTTGTGAATAACTATGTCTTGTTTTGGTCATAAAACAGGGTTGTTGCTAGATCAGATGCGATTGCGGCCGGAAGTTAACGAGAATTATTTATATTATTCATTATATTTCCCATTTATTGTATTTTATTACCATCTACCACTCTAAACCGAATCATCACAGTACTGTAAAATATTATTTTTTGTTATACAGTGTTACAAAATATGCTATGTCGTTGGGGTATCTGCAGATGTATCCAGGGCCAGAGCAAGCTGATTCGGGTGCTGAGGGAGGGAGGTGTCGCAGACACTGCGCTTTTTATTCTGCCGCCCTATGCGCGGATATATATGAGGACGTGCAGGTGTCGCGGACCTCAATTGTGCCGCCCTATGAGGACACACGGGTGCTGATGGAGGTGTCGCTGACGCCGCCCTCTCTATTCTGTCGTCTATGCGCAAATATATAAAGGACGTGGGTGGTGAGGGAGGTGTCGCAAACATAACTAAGGACGCGGGTGGTAAGGGAGGTGTCGCGGACGCCGCCCTTTCTATACTGCCACCCTAGGCAGCCGCCTAGGTTGCCTCTATGGACACGCCGGCCCTGGATGTATCCTATCTAAACTACACCATAAAACAGTAACATTAATAAAATGCATTTTTTACTCATTATTTGTACTAGAGATGCACGATTCTGGCTAAAATAAGAATCGCAATTTTTTTTTTGCTTAAAATAAAGGTCACGATTTTTCTCACGATTCTGTGGATGTAAAATAAAGGTATGGTAAAAACAAACATATGGCACAACATCGAAAATAATAGTGTGTGTAGGTCTGCTGGTCTCTATATATAATTCTATTCTACTTATAATAATTATGATGTTGAATTATTATGTTTGAGATATATGCTTGCAATCTGTCATATTAGACAATTTTATTCAATGGTAATTTGCCATTATCAGATTATATTCAACATTATATAGGCTAGAGTCGGTATACTGACATTGTAAACATTTATTTTCACGCACAACTGTGAGTTCACTATGAAAGAAAAACATATCAAATGCTTGTCATAATCATAACTCTAAAATGTGAAAAGATCATTTAAATGACGTGCACACTTTCGGTTTCATTTTGACTGCTAAGTGCTTGTTCATACTTCGCGCGCAGCTCCCAAACGATCACTCTGTGACACAAACTGAATATTATTTACATCTGTATTACCTGTTACTCGCAACATTTGCAGGTTCTGTTCACTAAAGTAGACGCGCGTGCGCCTATCATTAAGGAGAGCGATAACAGCTCACGGTCAGCAGCTCATGTGACATGTCACATGATTTCCCGGCCGCGAATACAGCATTATATGAATACAAAAATTGCATTTTGAGGTGAATTATACCTTATAAATACAGTATGTGTCTCATTCAACATCATTTGAAGGTGTCAGTGTCACTGAGCAACGTGTGTGAAACAATGAAAAGACTCATGCAGCCGCTTTTTCTTCTCTCCTGAACTTGAAAAAATGATTGGCAGAATCATATAAATGCTTGATTAAGATCGTCTAGGGCAGGTGTGTCAAACTCAATTCCTGGAGGGCCGAAGCCCTGCACAGTTTAGTTCCAACCCTGCTCCAACACACTTACCTGTAGGTTTCAAACAAGCCTGAAGGACTCAATTAGTGAGTGAGTGATCAGGTGTGTTTAATTAGGGTTGGAACTAAACTGTGCAGAGCTGCGGCCCTTTTGGAACTGAGTTTGACACCTGTGGTCTAGGGGGTCGAATTGAGATTGCGATCTTTTAACGATTAATTGTGCAGCTCTAATTTGTACAGGTCGGGACTCAAACCCAAAAGCCATTTGCAGTACAGTTACTCTGTGCACACACATGGTCCACAAGGCTACTTGAGTCAGAGTTGTATTTTAAACCTGACAATCAAATGCAGATTTGCCAGGTCTCGAAACGCTTCTGAAATTATCGATGCATTGAATCGCTTTAGTCACATGACGTGTGTTTCGAATCATCGTAGTCACATGATCTTGTTCTTCAGGACATGCTTTTGTGCAGTGTTTCGAAACACTTGCACTTCAGGATTTCGACACTGTGTCGAAACGTCAGTTTCACGTCAGCCATCCCTACCTATCACCTGTGTATTCGACTATGACAATCAGATCTCTTTGCTCCTGATTGTGACTGTTGCATGCCTGACCATTCTTAATAAAACTGCATTAGAATGCCTCGTTAGCATCCTGTTCACATTACAATTAAATTACTTACAGTTATCATGTAAGCATGTTTTTACTATACCATTTACAGTTTTCTACTTTCATGAGCATGAACATTTCCTGTAATGTATGTTAATTGATTTTCAATTTCAGCCTTTGTATTGTTACAGGGTCTGTAGTATATTTAAATGGACAGTGTATGTTACCTGCACCTGTATGTCACTGTTATCAGTGTTTATTTATTAGGAAAACTTGCAAATAAGTGGATCTGCACGGATCTGATAATTGTCTTTTTCTGTCTTCAGTCTGGGTGGATGCAGTTTTACAGATGATCAGTGGGAGAGCCTAACTTCAGCTCTGAAATTAAACCCATCACACCTGAGAGAACTGATCCTGATGTGGAATGGACCGGGAGAGTCTGGAGTGAAAATCCTCAGTGATTTCCTAATCGAGCCACAATTAAAGCTGGAGAAACTATGGTTAGTATCATTATACTGCACAGCAGATACTGAGAGATTAAAGTTTTATTTTAAAAAGACATGATTAGAGTCACAAAATGCATCAACTTTCTTGCTATAAAATTATTTCAAATGCTGGAATCTGAAACTTCCACACTATGAAATGATGATAAGTGAAGTTTAATTTTAAACTAATTTCGAGAGGAGCATGTGCTCATGATTGACCCAGCTGCTCCACGTTAGCTAATTATGATCCTCCAATTAAAGGATCCCAAATCACTATATATATCCGCATTTCCTTTCTACAACTATCTTCGTCTGGAAGAAACCCCCCTCCTCCCCTTCTTCCTCCTTTATCCAGAATGGGCGGCACGGTGGCCCAGTGACTAGCACTGTTGCCTCACAGCAAGAATACCAATGGTGTTGGGTCCTCGCTGAGCCATCTGGTATTTCTGTGTGGAGTTTGCATGTTCTCCCCGTGTCCGCGTGGGTTTTACCCGGGTTCCCCGGTGTCCTCCCACCATCCAAATGTGCTCTATATTATAGATAAAATAAGCCTAAACCTTTTTTATAATGTCTTGGAAGTTCGCCTTGGCCTCAGCAGCGAGGGAGTTTGAGATAGACCTGAGTTCAATCTCCACTCGCCCTGCAAAAGGGGGGGAGCCCTGGGCTCGAGGATCCCTTGAGCTAAGGTCTCTTTCCCGGGACAGCATGCCAAACAAGCTACGTATTAATCGTGAGCTAAGTGTGAACTCTTGAAAAGAGTATTGTTAGACAGGCATTATTAGATAGTGATTATTTTGACAGAGTTACATTCACACTGGTCGAGTATTAAAATGATTTTTAGGCAGATTTTGATGATTTTTCCCGAGATTTAGTGTTTGAACTGTATGCAGGAATAATAATATTTAGTATATGTTTTTCATTTTGTAAATGTGTTTCTTCCGGGTGCTCCGGTTTTCCCCACAAGTCCAAAGATATGCGGTACAGGTGAATTGGGTAAGCTAAATTGTTCGTAGTGTATGAGTGTGAATGAGTGTGTTTCCTAGTGATGGGTTGCAGCTGGAAGGGCATCCGCTGTGTTTGTTTTGTAATTACCTCATGGTTAAAGTTGTTGCACGTGCACAAGCGTTTAGAACAAACAAAACACCAAGTGTTATTGCAGAGCAACCAAAACAGCACGCAGAAATATAAATGCACGGCTACGCTCGTTGCATTTGCCGTGAGTCACATTGATCATTTGACGCAGAAGTTTAAACCGGGCTTAAAGAGTTGTGGCTGCGTAAAAATTGTGCTTTATAAGTTGGTGGTTCATTTTGCTTTGGTGACCCCAGATTAATAAAGGGAATAAGCCGAAAAGAAAATGAATGAAGTTTTGAGCTCAGCTCATCAATAATGATTGCAAAAACTACACCGTTTTATATTTTATATATAATAATTTTTTTTGTTTTTTTTTGTTGAGTGTATGTTTTTATGATTTTTCTGCTTTCTTGGATACTTTGTCCAATAATTATGCATTTAACTCTCACATGAACTTAACATGAATCTCAGTCATTGTCCTTCCTGTCTTCAGTTTGTGTTATTGCAGTATTACAGAGGAACGGTGTGAGATCCTGACTTCAGCTCTGAAATCAAACCCATCACACCTGAGAGAACTGAACCTCAGTCAGAATATACCTGGCGACTCTGGAATGAAAAACCTCAGTGATTTACTGATGAATCCACAATCCAAGCTGGAGAAACTACAGTTAGTATCATCCCTACAGTATCATAAATATCATAATGTACAGCAGATACTGTTAGAATTAAGATTATATTCAGACAACAGGAATCAAGCCACAGCATTAATAAAATTTCTTACTATAAAATTTTTCAAATGCTGAAATCTGACCAAACCATTCACTGCTAAATAGGATTTGTGAGAACATACTAGAAAACTGAGCTGTAAAGATTATTTTGACAGTGTTTCATTCATACTGAACAAATGGTGAATTTTCATTAACTTTTTCAGTACCTACTTTAGTTTAAAATGAAATAAATCCATAAGTACTCAGTGATCAAATTGTTTTAACTGACATATCAACATGTATCTCAGTCATTGTCTTTTCGCTTTCTATCTTCAGACTTTGTAAATGCAGTATTACAGAGGAACAGTGTGTGATCCTGACTTCAGCTCTGAAATCAAACCCATCACACCTGAGAGATCTGAACCTCAGTCTGAATAATCTAGGAGACTCTGGAGTGAAAACTCTAAGTGATTTACTGATGAAGCCACACTTAAAGATGGAAAAACTATGGTTAGCATCATTATTCTGTACAGCAGATACTTTGAGATTATTGATGTTTATTTATTCTCAGACAACAGGAATCAAGTGAAAGCATTAATAAACTTTCTTAAAATTATTCAAATGCTGAAATCTGACAACTATTCAATGGCTAATCAAGAGCAAACATGAGAACAGGCTTGAAAATTAGCAAACAGGATTATTCTGACAGTGGTTTGTCTCCAGTGCATCCGGAAAGTATTCAAACCACTTCACTTTATTCACTTTTTTATGTTACAGCCTTTTTCCAAAATGGATTAAGTTTATTTATTTCCTCAAGATTCTACACACAATACCACATCATGACAATGTGAAAAAAGAGTTTTTGAAATTGTTGCAAATTTAACATAATAAAAACCTGAAAAATCACATGTAGGTAGATATTCACAGGCTTTGCTCAATACTTTGTTGATGCACCTTTGGCAGCAACAGAGAATTTTGTTTCTTGTGGTCTGAGAGTCCTTCAGATGCCTTTTGGCAAATTCCAGGTGGGAAGTGGCTTCTGTCTGTCCACTCTACCATACAGGGCTGACTGGTGGATTGCTGTATAGATGGTTGTTCTTCTGTAAGCTTCTCCTCTCTCCACAAAAGAACGCTGGAGCTCAGAGAGAGTGACCATTGGGTTATTGATCACCTCCCTGACTAAGGCCCTTCTTTCCCGATCACTCAGCTTAGATGGCTGGCCAACTCTAAGAGGAGTCCTGGTGGTTCCAAACATCTTCCACTTACGGATGATGGAGGCCACTGTGCTTATTGAAACTTTCAGAGCATCAGAAAAGAAAAGGAGTCCCCAGCCTTGTGCCCCGAGACAATCCTGTCTCGGAGGTCTACAGGCAGTTCCTTTGTCTTCATGCTTGGTTTGTGCTTTGACATGCACTGTCAATCCTGGGACCTTATATAGACAGGTGCCTTTTCAAATCATGTACAATCAACTGAATTTACCACAGGTGAACTCCAATTAAGCTGCTGAAACATCTCAAGAATGATCAGTTGAAACAGAATGTACCTGAGCTCAATTTAGAGATTCATGGCAAAGACTGTGAATACTGATGTACATGTGATTTTTCAGATTTTTTATTTTTCTACATTTGCAACAATTAAATTTTTTTTTTTCACATTGTCACTATGGGGTATTGTGTGTAGAATTTTGAGGAAATAAATGAATTTAATCCATTTTGGAATAAAGCTGTAACATAAAAAATGTGGGAAAAGTGAAACGCTATGAATACTTTCCGGATGCACTGTATATACTGGACAACTGGTGAATTTCCTGTGATGGAAGGAAGTGTTTAGTCAGGTTTTCAGGATTTCTCATGAGATCTGCATGTCGTGTGATCAATTAAATACAACTATAAAAATAAAATCAAATGGGTTATAATAGTAATAATGCTTTTTCAGTAATTAATTTAAAATTAAATAAGACCATAAGTACTCAGTGAAAATTTTGTTTTAACTCGCACATTAACTTATCATGTAGTCATTGTCTTTTCTCATTCTGTCTTCAGGCTGTGTAAATGCAGTATTACAGAGGAACAGTGTGTGATCCTGGCTTCAGCTCTGAAATCAAACCCATCACACCTGAGAGAACTGAGCCTCAGTGAGAATAATCTGGGAGACTCTGGAGTGAAAAACCTCAGTGATTTACTGATGAAGCCACAGTTCAAGCTGGAGAAACTACAGTTAGTATTATTATACTGTACAGCAGATACTGAGAGATTATTAATGTTTATTTATTCTCAGGCAACAGGAATCAAGCCACAGCATTAATTACTTTCTTAAATTTATTATATGCTGAAATCTGACAACTATTCAAGAACTAATCAAGAACAAACATGAGAACAGTCTAAAAATTAGCAAAAAAACATTATTCTGACATTGTTTCATTTATACTGGACAACTAATGAATTTCCAGCGATGGACAGAAGTGTTTAGTTTGCTTTTAAGGATTTATCACCATGTAGTGTGTATCAGGATTCTGCCACTTTGGTCTTGTCAATTCTTATTTTGGTCCAGACACTAGTGCTGTCTTGTCTTGTATGTTGTGCTCGGCCCAAGTTTTCTCGGGTTAAGCACTTTTATCCTGTTCTTGTCTGTCTTTGTCTTTTGTATGAGTGCTGTATGATCCGATTTGTGTGATCCACTGTGGCAATCACTGATTAATAATGAGACTAAGCCAAAAAAAGAAGATGAATGAATATATACAGTTGAAATCAGAATTATTAGCCCCCCTTTGAATTTTCTGTTTTTTTTTTATATTGCCCAGATGATGTTTAACAGAGCAAGGAAATTTTCAGAGTATGTCTGACAATATTTTATCTTCTAGAGAAAGTCTTATTTTTTTTTTTATTTCGGCTAGAATAAAAGCAGTTTTAAATTTTTTAAGAACCATTTTAAGGTAAAAAATATTTTAGCTATATTGTTTTCGATTAGTCTACAGAACAAACCATTGTTATACAATAACTTGACTAATTACCCTAACCTGCCTAGTTAACCTAATTAACCTAGTTAATCCTTAAAATTTCACTTTAAGCTGTATAGAAGTGTCTTGAAAAATATCTAGTCAAATATTCTGTTATCATGGCAAAGATTAAATAAATCAGTTATTAGAAATGAATTATTAAAACTATTATTTTTAGAAATGTGCTGAAAAAAATCTTATTTACCTTAAACAGAAATTAAGAACAAAAAAAGGGCAATAATAATTCAAACTTCAACTGAATATACATGTAATTTCACTCATTTATAACTTAAGAACAACTCCAGACTTGGATTATAACTCAAATACTGCTCTTTTGGTTTGTTCATTCATGTTGTATTTTTATGATTTGATTTGTTCAACAATCATGTGTTTTACTCACACGTGACCTTCACACAAATTCCACTCATTGTCTTTTCTCTTTCTGTCTTCAGTCTGTCTCATTGCAGTATCACAGAGGAACAGTGCGAGATCCTGACTTCAGCTCTGAAATCAAACCCATCACACCTGAGAGAACTGGACATAAGTAAGAATCAAATTAGAAACACTGGAGTGAATCTCTTATGTGACGTACTGAACAATTCAGACTGCAAACTGGAGACACTGAGGTAAGAAACATTCACCTACTGCTTTAACCTTAACAAGGCTATGGGGGTATTTTATGGCTTATTCTTAAATGGGATCATGAACACCTTCAGAGTTGTGAGTCTTTGTCTTGAGACGCCTGCTATGAGGATGGTTTTGTGGATGGGATCACAGGTGTAAGAGACAGTCAGCTCGGCCATGGATTCAGGAAACGTTGGCTGTTTTTTTTTTATGAACTCCACTCCATTCAAGACACCCATTCCATATTTAGTTACTGTAAGAATTGAAATATTGCAAATATTCTGATATCTTTGACAATTCAAATCATGAGCTGAAAACAGAGACTGGTAACTTCACAACTCAGCAAGGGGAATGCGGGAAAAACCAGTTCCTGCTGCATTTGCATCTGAGTCTGCTTCATCCCCCCAACTCACACATATGGTCATTTCAATGTTTGAATGTTCTAGAATTAACCAAACTGACTTTAACTATCATGTTTGATATCATTTGAAATGTCTCAGTGCGATTGGTACAATGGTCTCATTCTCTTAGAAATAGACATAATCAGAACAATAAATATATAACTTCAGGCATCTTTTGATCCACTGTGAGGGGTGTGACACTAAGTGTGAATGCCTTTTGTTATACATTCACACCCCCTTCCTTGAGGGAATTCTTGGATTATTTAAGGTAAGGCCTAAGAAGGACTCAGGGCGATTCTGCCTAACCAGATCAGCCCATAACATGGGGTCTGCCCCATGTTATGTATATTTCAAAGTCAGGAATGCATCTTTTTCATCTTGGAGTTATCTTTGATAATTTGATGTTTTGTATTGATCGTTTATAAATTGACTGATTGAATTGGCATAATACATTTACCTGACTAATAAATTGTTATGTTTTGAATGATTCAAACAGAGTTCGTGTTATTATCACTGATAAATGTTGTTGTCCATAGCACTACAAGCCACTGTACAGGTTAGTAACGGACTAAAACATGTTAGACGGAGCAGCGTGGCACGCTATTCAATGTTGTTAGAGATCCGACTAACAAATTGGCATTTATTCATGTATACTTGGACTGTAAAAGGCCAACTATTTAGAACAACAAAATATTGTTGAAACTACTTTAAATGTGGATATTTAGGCCTTCATCTACAATAGTATAATCCTGCGCGATTATTATTAAAATACTTTGTCTTGATTAAGTAAATAACAGATCCATGGGGACCACATAAAAATCTCCTAAATTGAGTAAGTAGTGTTCTGCCTTTTTAGGAGAGTGGTTAATCGCCTCTGTTTAATGACCAAGACTGACAAGCTTGTAGTAAGAGATTGTATACCCGGCCGGTGCAAGACTCGAGATGCTATCGGAATCTGAGTAAATGAAAATAAGGTATAATAACAAATCAAAAGAATATTCAATCATAATCTAAAATAATGTGAAAGGAAACAAAATAATCTTATCAATGTTTTATAATGGGAGTCAGATAAAACGAGGATGAACATATTAATATTCTAAACCATCTCATACTAAAATTGGAGTCAGATATGAGTTAAGTTTAATATAAATCAACATTGTGCACTGGAAAGACCGAACATGCAGTGAACCTTCATCCACCATTGGATACCGTCATTGGACCAACTGGCTGGACCCTACAGTTACATAATTTTGTTCATTAAGTGCAAATATTTCTAAATGTGGGTCTAATTTCCAGCAAAAGAATAAATCAACCAAAACGACAAAGTGTGATCATCCACCATGCCCAATATCCAAACACACATCCTACTTCTGATTCCTATGCACTTATATGGTGGACAATTCTAAACATTCATTCTTTTTTTTTTCGGCTTAGTCCCTTTATTAATCTGGGATCGTTACAGCTGAATAAACCGCTAACTTATCCAGCATAAGTTTTACGCAGCAGATGCCCTTTTAGCTGCAACCCATCACTGGGAAACATCCATACACTCTAATTCACACACATGCACTACAGACAACTTAGCTTACCCAATTCACCTATACCGCATGTCTTCGTACTGTGGGGGAAACAGGAGCACCCGGAGGAAACCCACGCAATCACGGGGAGTTCATGCAAACTCCACACTGAAATGCCAACTGACCCAGCTGAGGCTCCTACTAGCGACCTTCTTGCTGTGAGGCGATCATGCTACTCTCTGCGCCACCCTGACGCCGGCTTTAACAACATGCTACACATAATTAATATTTGTTAATATGTTACAAAAAAAACCCCACAATGTTATTTTAGAATATCCCAGTTATAAAATCGGTTTGAGATGAATAACGTTCAGTTTCTGACATCCCTGCTGAAAAATCCAACTTTAATCAGCCTTAGCTGGTTGGCTTGAGATTTTGGCCACTTCCAGCCTGGTCTTAGCTGGTCAGGCTGGAAAAACCAGCTTACGTGGAGGCAGGACAGGAGCAAGCTGAACTGGCGCCCTAGTCTAACGTAATCATGCCGCCCTCAAACCAAGAGATGATTGCGCGTATGACAGCGAGGACCGGGGAGGGGAGTGTCGCAGGAGTGATGCCCCCTATTATTAAAGCTGATTTATACTTCTGCACCAAGCAGCTGCCTGGGTTGCCTCTATGGACGCGCTGGCCCTGTGTGAAGGCATAAACTCTGCAGGGCTGAGAGTCCAGAAATTAGTTTGACACTCCTGCATTAAACCTCTGATAACCATGATTTCTTCCTCTCTGTCTGTTTGCCTTTTTTTAGACTAAACGACTGTGGCATCACAGATGTTTCTTCTTTAACTCAGTGTTTGACGAACACAAAAGCTCTGCAGTTTCTAAAAGTGCTTTATCTGAGGGAAAATCACATTGGAGACTCAAAGCAGGAGCTCAGTGATGTGGTACGAGACTCAAACTGTGAACTGAGGTCAGTAAACAACACAGACTGTGTTGAAAATTATTATGTTTTATTTAAACAAAGGGTTTGTCTGAGCACAAAGTGTGCAGTGTGTCTGCGGTAGTTGAAGAGAAAGAGCAGAAAAGCTGCAAGTCAGAGCTTTATCCAGCAAAAGCATTAGGGCGGACTCACATTAGGTACAGTTGCCTTGAACTAGAGATCTGCGCTGGACTAAATTTTGAATCCTGCTCCCGCCAGGTTTTAGTCCGAACCCAACCACTCCCGCTTATATTCAGCATTTGTTGTCCTGCTGCCCGATCCACCTCTTTTTCTACCCGCCGTGCCCGTTCGGGTAGAACACACACATAGACAGCAACAAACAAGCTAAACACAGCATCTCGCTCTCTCATTCACACACATACATACGCGTGCTTGCTCGCTCGGGAGTCAGGAGCGAAATTGTAAGACCATTCACTCCTGTCCAAAATTACACCAGTTACCGGCTGCTCCCGTGCATTATTCGGACATTTATCCGCGCCGCAATAAATCTGGTCGGGTCCCGCAGCTCCCGCACACAGCCGCAGGAATGCAGACCTCTACCTTGAACCATACCAGTGCAATTGTCCTCGATTTGCGCATTTTAATAATCTATGACAGTTTGCGTTCATTGAAAGTTAAGAATGATTAATAAATCCATATAAACAGTACCCTAAACGTGACGTCACGTCTTCAGTTTCGGGCTCAGGCGTGCTTTACACTCACACTACAAGCGTACCGCGCTCTGGCACACCTCTTCCAACTGGGCCAGGGCTGGCCAACTGAACCGCAATTGAGCCCAATTCAGAGCAATCACACTATTAAACTTATTGGGAAACAGGCCTGCGCACGGTTCGGATAGCATAGTGTGAGTGCGCCCTTAATGGCTTCAGCAGTGAATCATTACAGTCTGAAATAGTTGTAGAAAACACACAGCAGCACATGTCTCTCGCTCTTCTGGACTCTTTTTACTTTCACTAAAAACTGCACACTTAATCTGATATTCTTCAAATTAAGTACTTTTTTGTTTGAAGGAAAAAGTTCAATAGGGCTGAGTGAGAGTATACTGTTTCTCAACACCCAGTAGTAGTTCATGTCACACAGTTTGCGTATACCTCTAAGCACATTCATTTATTTAAATTAATTTGCTCTTTGTGCTCAGCCAAGCCTTCACTCATTAGTTTGTGTTTCTCAGTAGGAGTCACAGCATGGAATTGTTTAAAATATTTTCTAGGAAAATATATGTGGAAACGAATGTAGAATCAGTAGTTAATATCACAGATCACAGGGATTTATTAAATGTTAGTCTCAAAAGTTAGTTTTTCAAAATATATGGTGCTGTAAATATTAAGAATTTTGTTTCGAGGAAAAATGATGTTTTTTCTCCTCTGCTTCCTCCTCACAGTGTTGATGAATTTTCACTGCCAGACTTTGGTCAAATCAAAGACATTAAATGCTGTATATCATAGTTTTTGTGAAGAAGAGATGCATCAGGTGAGGATCCACAGAAGAGTGTCATTATGCATACAGATGTTCAGCTTTACCTTAAGCATGCAATACCTAGTGTGACCTGCATGCCAAATTTGACTATAATGCCAGATTTGCCTCACACACAGTACACCGACCATCACAAAGAGTTTGTGAAGTGTGCTTCAGGCTTAATAGTGTACTACTTACCAAGAATTTCAAATGTATTCATACCACTAAATTACCAACGATAAGCAACTTTACTGTCAGCATATCAAGGCACCTAGAGTTGATCTGAAACCATTGCATTTGACTCTAGGAGTCAAACAACAAAGAATCAAGTCAAGAATCTTTGTGTGATTCTGGAGTTGTTATGTTTTCTGAGAAAATGGTGAATTCATTACTTAATGTAACAACTGTATATATATATATATATATATATATATATATATATATATATATATATATATATATATATATATATATATATATATTTTTTTTTTTTTTTTTTTTTTTTGCTGTTCTTCAAAAATGTAATCTTTATTCCTCCGATTTCCCATTTAACAAGCGTTGTTTATGTAGCCTACTGACCATATTACCTGCTCTCAGTGCATTATAATTTACCGTAAATACCTTTTTTAATCCAGACACTGCCGACATTATTGCAAGAGAATCACTTCAGCACCAGTAGGGGGCGATATTTTACCTTTCTTAACATTTTTCAACCAACAGCTGCGGTAAGAAGAGGTTTAGCAATTAGGCCTAAGTAAACTCGTTGATTATTCACGATGATTTCCGTCAAATGTTGGTTTCTTTCAATAAAGTTGCTGTCCTTTTAAAAAAATTTCTTAATTTGAGCTTGGTTAGGTCTCAAAACAAGGAATAAGGAGTCTTGTTTCATATGTAAAATTTCTATTTCATGTACTCGTGAACACAACATCTATAATACTAAATTTAAGGGTTTGGGGATTTTTTTTTTCTACACACGTTTAAATGGAATGTCCGAATGTATACGTGAAGTGTGTTTAATTTTCTGACTGAGCAGTTTGAGTTATGCAAGTTTTTGACTCTATGATGGCATAAAAACAAAAATATTTTTGCATATATATATATATATATATATATATATATATATATATATATATATACATATATATACATTTTTAAGGTAACATAGGCTACTTATTTTAGCTTTCAAAATACACAAACTGGTGATATTAAAGTGGTTTAAAATATCTAAATTCGGTTGGTCTCAGCTATTTAAATAAAGTGTTGATTAAAGGAATATGGCTTATTTTTTTTCAACTTTAACCCATGTAAACTGCTCATCTAAATCCCACTGGAGCTCACAGCATATTTCGGCACTCTCTGGAATCAAGAAACTACATTTCTTAAAATTGCCTATCATTAAACGTACATTAAGAGATTGTAGCTCAAGGGATACTGTAACAGTCACCACCAGGAAACCAGTCATTATCTCACAGTGCTTTTTATAAACAGGATGAGGGAGGAGAAGTGATAAACAGGAACACAGAACAATGTTCGGTCTGTTTGACTCATTAAAACACCAAGAAGTATTTATAATAATGGAACCTTGCTTTACAGCAGTACAAAATGTATTTAAAAACAGACAAATCAAGCAAAAATAAAACCTATAAATAATGCGATCTATAAAAACAGAAATGAACAGTGCAAGTACTAAGCAAGAACTTCCGATTCTTTAATACTGATATCTTCTGTATAAAAATACTGGCTCTGTGAAACAGGAGTTAAATATTACTCACTGTTCTGGAAGTAAACCTTGACTTTAACATAAGTAGAAAATATTAAACATACAGTAAAAAACGTGGCAGTGTTGATTTATGATAATAACAGTAAATATGAACAGATCCTGGATCCTCAACTCATGTCCTGATACTTGAGTACACTGTGTGATCTTCCGTAATGACGTCCTGCAAGAAAACACAAGGGTCATAAGCATTAATTAGATACAAGCTAATTCATAAACAGACATTAGGACATTTTATGAGCAGGGTTAAAATCTGCAAGCCTTTAATTAGCTATTTCTGTGCTGGGTTTTGTTAAAAAGAATCAAATTTTTAAAGTCTAGAAGCAAAAACATAACACATCAAATAATAATACAAAATACTTCCTAACTTAAAGGCTTACAATGTTAGTTCTAGCCACTTATATGGTAGACAAAGCTACAGCAGCTCTTTCATATAACTAATCTAGACAAATTATACTGTACACAAATTTAAACAGGTAAACAATTGCATATTATTCAGTAATATTTACTCAAATGATTATGAAAACAGAATACATACATACATTTACACATTTAAGTAAATAGAAAAACTGAATCATGCACTCACAAATCTCTCAAAAAAAAGAAAGGAAGTTTAAAGTTTGAGCACTCAAAGCGTCCTTGTTTGATCAAAAGCAGCCTTTATTTAAACTGAACTTTCTCTTTGGTGTCAGTATGACTGTAACCACAACCGCAGGATTACACACATAAAGATACTTTTCAAAAGGGGATTTTTTACAGTGGTGTCATAAAAGAACCATTTTGGTTCCTTAACCATTTCAATGGTGAGTTTTCCTGTGTTTAAAAGAAATGCTACACTCTTTTTGCCCATTTCAAGAGTTCACACTTAGCTGATAATCAATAAAGCGTATTTGGCATGCTGTCCCGTAATATCCTCGAGCCCGGGCCTCCCTCCCGTTAGAAGGCCGAGAGGGGAGTTCGAGGTCAGGTAGGTCTTGAGAACTCCCCTGCTTGTCACCGTGAGAAGTGTAAACTAAGGTTGTAATGGGTGATAATTTGTTTTAGTCGATTGGCTATGGTTATGTTTTTGGACGGTGGGAGGAAACCGGGGAACCTGGGGAAAACCCATGCGAACACGGGGAGAACATGTAAACTCCACACAGAAACACCAACCGGCCCGATGGGTAGGACTGGCGGTGTTCCTGCTGTGAGGCAACAGTGCTAGCCACTGGGCCACCGTGTCGCCCCATCAGAAAAAAGTGGGAGGATGTAGGGGTGGAAAGGGGGGGAGTTTCAAGATGAAGATAACTGGAGTGAAAAACTCAGGTTATTTATAATGCTTCTGTAATCATCTAATAGGGCTGATTACGGAGCTAACAAGGAGCCAGCCGTGTTGATTATAAGCACGTGATCCTCTCGAAATTAGTTTATGAATAAACCGCACTTCATAGCTTCCATATAGATAAACAGTTTAGTTTAACCATTTGTGAATGCATTCAGCTCCAAGGTCTAGGTAGGAGTACTTTTAGTTTAGCTTAGCATACATTTACATTTAGCAGACACTTTTGTCCCAAATGACTTACAAATGAGGAGACATTAGGCGATTCAACTCTTCTCTGACTGAAAATGAAAAGTTGCTATTTTCTAGGCAAATATGGAACTATACTCTTATTCTGGCATAATAATCAAGCAATATTGCTGCAGTACTAAGACTGCAGCTAGAGCTGAGCCTTAAAATTGGCTAGCCTCTATATATACAACGTGACCACCTCCTTACTCTGGCAACATGACTTGCAACCATTTTGTGAGATGATTCGGAACCTACTTTAGTGCAGATCCTGAACCATATCTATTTAATCCAGAATACATGGAAGTTTTTGATTTTCAAGTTTTTTAATATTATTGTGCCTGTTGCACCATGGTGAAATAAGGCTATTTTAGCCTGTGAGTGTTTCTTTAACAGCCTCATTCACACTGAATGCGTCTTTGCTTCTAAAAACATGAGACGCTTTGCTTTGGAATGATTTGAAAAAAAGTGCAGCATAACTTATGAGGGTGTCTGGACACAGCCACCGAACACTTTTAAACAGAAACCTGTGAACAGTTGCCCCGCGTTTGAGTTCTTTTAAATGCTCTGTTGCTGCATTTGAAAGCAGTGCTGCATGAGAAAAGTGTTTTAACTTGACATTGCATCAAACGTGGTGCTCACGTCTTTAACATACACAAGATATGAGCATAACAGTAACACACATCCGTCAAGTGTATCGTTACATTGAAAAACAATAGAAAAGTAGTGCATTTGAAAGGAATAATGCATTCTGTGTGAACAGTACACTTAGAATATTATTTGCTTAGAACAGTCAAAGTCCTTTTAAGGCTAGTCATTTCACTCGGCGGCCATCTTTGAAATGCCTTTCGGCCAGTATGCTCGGCATTCAGTCTAAATGGCAAAACATCAAATTCTCCAAAACTGTTTATCAAGCTTACGATTACATTACATATTTGGAATCACCAATAAAACTACACAACTGTTCATAAGTTTTAGATTCTAAATGTTCAAATTAAACAAAATTGGCATTTTTTAGGTTGCCCAAGGTAATGCGCACTCGAAAAGATCGAGATCACGACACCAGCCTCATTTATGGCCGTGATACACATTATCATCCTGGAATATGGACACAATTTTTACAATAATACAATCTTACCGTATTCTGAAGACGTTGTGTACAGAATATTGGTTCAGCATAATCCATCTCTTCCTCTTGAATATTGGCTGAATTGATAAGAAAACGTATTTTAAAAAATTGTATAAATTTTTATACAATATACATCCGTTCCACCACATCCCAAAGGTGCTCTATTGGATTTAGATCTGGTGACTGTGGAGGCCATTTGAGTATGGTGAACTCATTGTCATGTTCAAGAAACAAGTCTGAGATAATTCACGCTTTATGACATGGCGTGTTATTCTGCTGGAAGTAGCCATCAGAAGATGGGTACACTGTGGTCATAAAGGGATGAACATGGTCAGCAACAATATTCAGGTAGGCTGTGGCGTTGACAAGATGCTCACTTATTACAAATTGGCCCAAAGTGTGCCAAGAAAATATCCCCCACACCATTACACAACCACCAGCCAGAACTGTTGATATAATGTAGGATGGATCCATGCTTTCATGTTGTTGACACCAAGTTCTGACCCTACCATCCGAATGTATTAGAAGAAATTAAGACTTATCAGACCAGGCAACGTTCTTGTATTGTCCAATTTTGGTGAGACTGTTTCCTGTTTTTAGCTGACAGGAGTGGCAGCTGCTGTAGCCCATTCGACTCAAGGGTTACCATGTTGTGTGTTTAGAGATGCTCTTCTGCATACCTTGATTGTAACGAGTGGTTATTTGTTTTACTATTGCCTTTGTATTAGCTGAAACCAGTCTGACCATTCTCCTCTGACCTCTGGCATCAACAAGGCATTTGCGCCCACAGAACTGCCACTCACTGGATATTTTCTCTTTTTCGGATCATTCTCTGTAAACCCTGGAGATGGTTGTGTGTAAAAATCTTAGTAGATCAGCAGTTTCTGAAATACTCAGACCAGCCCGTCTGGCACCAACAACCATGCCACATTTAAAGTCACTTAAA